CATATGTATGCTGGTAGACATTGTAACCTGGCCTGGTCTAAGCTGTTCCCAGCCTTGGTTCTTGCACTGACCTGTAGGGATTACCAAGGAGTTCCCCAAGCTCCTTTATCAGGTCACCTCCCAGTGGCAGATCTCATATGCACCAATAGGTCCTTGGCCCAGCCTGACTTGGCCCAACTCATGTCCTGGCAGGAACAATAACCATGCCCAGATAGCCCACCCTCATTCTGGCTCTTACTGTTTCCCAGCTGCACCTGGTCCACTCCACAGACCCAGCTCTTGTGAGATTCAGTGGTTATCTAGCCCATCCTATACCCACCCTGGCTCTTGTGAGCACCTATCAGTGCTGGAGTCTAGCCCCATCCTGCCCACCCCAGACCCAGTGCACACCCATGCCGAGGGACACTGCAGTCATGTCCAGCACAGTTTGCCACCCCCATTCTGGTTCTTCTGTTCACCAGAGGGAACCACAATCTAGCCAGAGCATCCTCTTAGCTCCCTGACCAGGCCTGTTCTCAGCCACAGATCTTGCACATGCCAATGGTTACTCACAGCATAGACCATCCCCCGTTTTGACTTTGCCATCAGATGTTGCATCTAGTCTGGCCTGGCCTACTCCCAGTCCCAATTCTTGCTGGTGGGTGCTGTTGCCCAGCCCTGCCCAGTCTGCCTAGGTCCTCTAAATCTTTTCCAATATGTATGAATTAATTTAATTTGAATGTAAGTCATCAGCAAAAAAAAAAAACCTTTGATAATCCATACAGTGACCATCCAACTCTGCTGATTATTTTGCTCCTGTAGGTTTCTTACTGAAATTGAGCAGCCTCACTCCCTGTCCCTGCCTACACAAACATATAGCCCAACAAAAATGCAGGTTAATACCACAGTGCCCACAGTTTAAAGTTCTCATAATTGACAAATAGCAGCACCCACTTGTGTTTTGTTTTTTTTTTTGTTTTTACTATACAACACCATCACCCGCAACAATTCTCTCCTTCCCCTCTGCAATCAGCTCCTTTTACTGTCTCTGGCAACCACTGATGTTTCTTACCCCTTCATTTTTGCCTTTATGGAAAGATGTGGGCAAAATCATTCAGTAGGCAGCCTTTGAAGCCTGGCTTCTTTTCACTTAACGTCAGGCCCGTGAGGTTCATCCATGCTGTTACCACATATCAACATTTACTCCTTTTTATTGTTGAGTTCATTGCATAGATGGACCACTGTTTATCCATTCCCCACTGGAGAGTGGTGTAGTTCCAGCTTTTTAGTAGTTACCGGTAAAGCTGCTATAACCATTTGTGTACAGTTTTCATGTGAACTCAAGTTTTCATTTTGCTTGGGTAATATTAACTTTTTAAAAAAGCCATTCTAGGGAGTATTTGTGTAAACTCATTGTGGTTTGAATTTGTGTGTCCCTAATGACTGATGTTGTTGAGTAGCTTTTCATGTGTTTGTCACAATATATCTTCTTTTATGAAGTATCTTTTTGTCTTTTTTGCCTCCTTATAAGTAGTTGTTGAATTTTGAGAATTATTTATATACTGGACCCAAGTCAGTGACTACTATTTCATTGTAGGTGCTTTCTAAAGAGGCACTCTTTTTTCTAACTTGCTTTTCTCATTTCTGCTGTTAACGAGGAATATTCTATACTAACAGTTTCTTCTGATTGCCCTGACTACCTCTTTCTTCCTTCTCTTTCTCTTTTAATTTCATTTGAAAGTCAGAGAGATGGACATACAGAACACTCATGCTGTGATTCACTTCCAAAATGCCTTCAGCAGTCAGAGCTCAGGACACAGTCCAAGTCTCCCATGTGTGGGACAGGGACTCAATGACGGGCCAGGGGTCTTCATTAGTTGGAAACAGCAACCAAGAGCTGGAACCAGGAAGTAAAGCCAGGTATCCTGAGGTGGAATACGAACATCTTAACAACTGGTCTGAGCACTCACTCCCTTTTATTGACTAATTTCAGTGGATACTTTTGTTTGGTCCAATCATTGATTCAGCAACTAATTATTGAGCCTCACAAGTTAGGGCTGACATTTTTTTTTAATTTATCAGCTAGCAAATACTTATTAATGTTTGGGATTTGATAAGTTACATTTATATGAGGGAGCTTTAAACAGTTCATGAAAAAATATAGATTAAAAAAGTTTTTAATCTGATGCAAAAAAAATTTGAAATTCATGCATAGCTCTTTCATGATGTGCTTTCTCCATGAACTCCTTTAAAATCTATCTATCTATCTATCTATCTATCTATCTATCTATCTATCTATCTGGCAAAACAACACAGTGGGAGTGACAGAGAGAGAGAGAGAGAGAGAGAGAGAGAGAGAGAGAGAGAGAGAGAGAGAGAGAGAGAGATATTTCCATTCTCTGGATCACTGCCCAAATGGCCTCAACAGTTAGTGGTCAGACAGGAACTCCATCCTGTACTTGAACCCTTTCCTGCTGCCACTCAGGTCATACCCGCAGGAAGCTGAATTAGAAGCGGAGCAGTTAAGACTCAAACCAGGGCTGCATATGTTGTACATGATGGCTTATCTCCTGCACCACAACATCAACTCCTCTATGAACTTTATGTAATCTAATATATGCAATAAAATTAGAATTGTTTGCTAATTTGGAGTATTTTTTGGCCATTTCTGGATCTTCCTTATATTATCAAAGATGTTTGAAAGACTGTACTCCTTTCCCTCTCTCTCATTGCCCCCCACCCCCACCCCAGCTACCCTTAGAGATTTAGAGCTTGGGATCTAGCAGGCTGAGGATTGGAGAAGACGGATTTTGAAATGGCTACAGTCTCGTTCCTGTCAGGTTTAGTGAGATCACTGTATAGCTGTAAAGATATTCACATCTTGGAACTGTTCCAGAGTGGAAGCCTTTCCATTCTAATCCTTTCCTCTGTTTTGGGAAGTAGTTCCTAGGAGCAAAATATTCTTTTGTTATGCACAAGGGATTCCCCTGCCTTAGCACACATTTGGTTGTGACCTAGATGAATGTTGTATTCTGAGGGGGCTTGGTTTCCACTATTCACTGGAATGCTGATGGAAACAGTCTTATGACCTTTTATAAAGAAGTATTGGTTGCACTGTTATTCTGCAGAGTTCAGATAACTTTTGAACAATACAAATGATTTCTTTCATTTAAACATGTATATTCATGGCATTCCTTCTATGCAACAAGTATACACTTCAACATCTGCATGAACTAAATTCATGCAGGGGTGGGCTGTTGGCACAGCAGTAAAGATGCTGTTTGAGACATTTGCACCCCATACCAGAGTGTCTAGGTTCAAGTCCCAGCTCCACTTGCAATTTCAGCTCCCTGCTAATGTATATCCTGAAAGGCAGCAGGTAATGGCTTAAGTACTTGGGTCCCTGTTGCCCTTCTGGGAGGATGCTTCAAAGCAGACGGAATGGCTGGAAGAAGCTCTTTCACAGTTGAGTTGAAAGAATTCTAGAACCAAGGCCATAGAGATGGAAATTACAGTGTCCAACTTGCCCTTCTTGTTGTAACACACTGCAGTCTAGTCCAGAGCTGCTTTGGTGGAAGCCACTAGACTCACGTTTGTAGGGCGGGAGAGTGAAAGTCTTGTCCAAGTCTGCAGGGGCTGCAGCTCCTCTACCTGAGGCCAGTGGGACTGAATGCTCCCATTTGTTCCTCCAGGCTCGTTGAGATCACCTAGGATCAACAAATATATCCATCCAGTGGAAACTGATTTTTTGGTTTGTTTTAATTAAGCCACCAGGACATAAGAAGGGTGAATAAAGCAAAAGATTGCCACAAAGCGGATCTAAGAAAAAGGAACTTTTAAAGGATTTATATAGTCATTTATTTTAAAAATACAGATAAAGAGGGAAAAAGAGAAATTCCATCCCCAAATGGCCACAGTGGCTGGCCCTGGGCTGGTTCAAAGTCAGGAGCCCAAAGCCTCTTCCACATCTCCCAGGTGGGTGCAGGGGCCCACATACTCCCCCAGGCACATTTACAGGGAGTTGAACTGGAAGTTGAGTAGCCAGGATTCCAACCAGTGCCTAAATGGGATGTCAATATACTACAGCTTTACATGCAGCACCAGCTGCAAGAAAAAGGAATTTGATTCTAATCTACATCTTACTAAATTCTTAACTTTATTTTCTTGATCTGTTTTATTTTAATTAATGAAGATTTAAAATGTGAATCATAATTTCTATGTGAATAAAGCCAAAAAGTGACAAAATGTAAAAAATTCAGTTCTGCCCATAGTCACTCCTGTATTATGAGCTCCTGCTATGGGACACAGACTTCCTTTTGATCCCGTTTTCCACAGAGCAGATCCTGTGAGAAGCAGCTGCATCCTAATTACAGCTTCTTAGAGACACGCCAAAAAAGTAAACTGATGCACATTATATGATTACTTGCAAAAGTTCGTGGGGGAGAGCCCGGCACAGTAGCCTAGTGGCTAAAGTCCTCGCCTTGCACATGCTAAGATCCCATGTGGGCCCCAGTTTTAATCCTGACAGCCCCACTTCCTGTCCAGCTCCCTGCTTGTGGCCCGAGAAGGCAGTGGAGGTCATCCCAGGGCCTTGGGACCCTGTACCTGCATGGGAAACCCAAAAGAGGCTCTGGGCTCCTGGCTCCGGATCAGCTCAGCTCCAGCTGTTGTGGCCACTTGGGCAGTGACTCATCAAATGGAGGCTCTTCCTCTCTGTCTCTCCTCCTCTGTGTTTATCTGATTGTCCAATTAAAAAAAATTCATGGGGAAATGGAATTAAATGATCAACTTATTTTGGCATAACATATTTGTGAAATTCATGTTTAGTTGTTACATATTAAATGTTTTCCATGAGGTTTTGAAGTATCCTCATACTGACATAATACTTATAAAAGAATTATTTTTGCTTCTGTGTATTATATATATATAGCATATGTCCTATATTGTATATTTATATATGTTTCATATAATATCCATTCACCCAATTTAAGTATATAATTTAATGTTTATCTACTTCACAGGGGAAAAAAGATGTGACCCAGATATTTAACAACATCCTGAGAAGACAGATTGGCACTCGGAGCCCTACGGTGGAGTACATTAGCGCTCACCCTCACATCCTGTTCACGCTCCTCAAAGGGTGGGTGCCTGGCTGCCTTCAGAGTAGGGTCAAAGTTACAGCTGCTCTCACATGTGCACTCACATGCATTTGGCTTCCCTTTTGGAGCTGCAGGAAAGGCGTCTGCCATGCTAGAGGGTCAGCCCTCCAAAGAAGTATTATCTCTGGCTACTTAGGCAACAGTGCAGTCCTGTCCTGGCACTTTGTGTTTCTAAACGTTGCCTTTCCATTTACTACTTCTCTTCTCACACCTCCCGTCTTCCTGTCTCCTGTTACTGATTAGGTACTGCTTTGTGTTTTTCTTCATCTGCCCTCTTCCAAGCTTCCCAGTTACGCTTTTCTTGCTTGTATGAGACTGAATGCTTTCACTATGCACATACAACACACACACAGACATACACACATATACACAAGTATGTATTCTGCATTCTGGTTCTGAGGACTCAAATTTAGGAATAAGAATTCTTCAAGTACCTGTGAACTGCCAAAGTATGTTTTCTGTATAGAGGTGGGATCAATATTACTGTGTGTGTATTAGCCCATAAGATAACCAAAATAAACCTGAAGTCAAGCTAGTTAGTAGAGTCCTTGGATTATTATCTTTTCTATATTCTCAGTTACAAACATTTCTTGGCATTTTGAAGCTATTCTAGACGTTAAAGCCTGGAGATCTGGGGATGGAAGGTGTTCTTCTCCTGCTCCTTGCCGACCTTTCTACCGCACCATCTCAGCATGGCTTTGAGTTCCTGTTTCCAGTTCCATTCTTTCTTTCTATCCTCCTACCTGTGCCTAATTCTTCTCTTCTGCATTAACATGCACTTTAAAACTTGGAATCATCTTTCTGTCTTCTCCATTCCTTACTCCTGTTGTTCAGAGATAACTGCTTTCATTCGTTTTTGCTTGTTTGCCTGTTTAAAAATCATAGATTTGCCTTTGTGTTACACACAATGGGCTTATACTAATTTTTGATTTATTTTAAGTTGTCTTTGATTAGATGGGCTAGATAATAATTTAGCTTTTTTCTCTTATTACCACCATTAATCCATCTCCTTCCCTATATCCTCCCACTATTCTTTTTTATGGTGTCTGAGTTTATCCATAATCCCAATTAGCTTATTTGACCATGTAGTTATCATTTATTGCTAAGTAGAACAGTGTGGTACGATCACCTTGGTTTATGATACAAAAGAAAGTTTTCTGCTGGAGAATTGTATCTCTCAGCTTTGGAAATGGAAATATATATTTCATGTTGGGTAGGAGACGTTAAATGTCTGTAATCAATAGACCCCCAATGGAGTGGCTCTCCCTCAAGGTAAGTCATATGTGGCGGGGGCGGGGGCACCAGGGCGTCTTCAACATGTGCTACCTAGCTTCACTTGGTTCACTGCCAGTTCAGCCCACAGGACGGTGAAGGTACATAAGAAATTATGTGTTTGAAAAATGACCATAAGTCTGGGGTACTGGAGCCTGGTGTGATCAGAGGAAGGAGTGGGATGCAAAGGCTGAGTCCAGGTTATACGGAGCCTCCCGTGCCTGCCGTGCAAACAGCTGGATGGTCATCCTTAGCAGGGAGTCACTGGGGACACAGGAGGAATTCTGTGGATTGCAGGGGGACGGGGACTGGGGCTGCAGGGGTCAAAGAAGAGATAATTAGGGTCAGAACTTCAGTGGGAATGAAGAGGGTGAATATTTTTAAAATATTTCCATTTTTTTCTGATACAAACATAGTATGTATGATCATTTTAAGATTTAACTATTTTAAAAATATGTAATTAAAAAATTGAGTACTTTGCATAATCGCTTCCATAGAAACCATTATCAACAAATGCAGGACTATTCCTTTGGTTTTTATCCTCTATTATATTTATCATTTTAAAAAATTTTTAAATTATTTATTTGTTTAAAAGGCCGAAGGGAAGGAAAGGGAAGGAGAGAGAGAACAAAACACCTCTCCTTCACACCCATCCCCAAAGTACTAGTTCATTTCCCAATGCCCCTAATAGACATGACTGCCTCAAGCCAGGGACCTGAATGTCAGTCTGGGTCTCCCACATGGGTGACAAGGAACCAAGTACTTGAGCCATCACTACTGCCTTGCACAGTATATAGAAGCAAGAAACTAGAATCAGAAACAAGGCCAAGACTTGAACCCAAGCACTGCAATATTGAATGTGACTGTCCACAAGTAGTATTTAACCGTTACCCCCAAACACCCAGCCCTCTTCTATTTTTTAATCACAACTTTTACATTATTTCTTCATAACCTGTTTTGTGTATTAAATGTAGTTATTTAAGAGGCAGAGGGAAAGAGCTTTTCCCATCTACTGGTTCACGCCCCCAGATGCCAACACTGGCCCAGGCTGGATCAGGCCAACACTGGCAGCCAGAACACAATCCAAATCTCCTACATGAATGACAGAAACCCAGTTACTTGAGCCATCATTGCTGCCTCCTAGGTTGTACATCTGCAGGAAGCTGGAGTCAGGTGCTGGAGCTGGGAGTCAAATCCAGCTGTTCAGTGTATGAAGTGAGCATGCTACAGAGTGTCTTAACTGCTAGCTGAAGACCTGCCCCCATACCATTTCCTGAATTCTTGCCATGTGCCTGGTATTGTGCCTTGAGTTAAACCTAATCATTGCAATAATACTCTGAGGACTGGTAGTATTCTTACCGTTTTACAAACAAGAAAATTGAAACCCAGAAAGAATAAGGATACTAGTTAAGGTTGTATAGCTAACATGTGACAGAGCCAAGTTCTCAGTTATGTTCCAATTCTGAATGCCATGTTTTTACCATTGACATATCCTTAAAAAGACTGTAGGATTCTTCAGATGTGAAGGGAAATGGAACTGTCATGCTCCTGAGGACAAGGCAGGGGGCACATATCCCCACCTGGAGCAGCTGTGCCATCACCAGTTTTTCCTGTTACCATTCTCTAATGTGACATGCAATTCCAGAGATGTGAGGAAGGATCTGGGCATCTTCCATCCCATGTGGGAGATCTGAAAGGGAGCGGATGATCTTAGAGTTCTTGGCCTACAAGGGCAGTCTAGTTCCCCGTGGTCTCCTTGGCAGTTGGGATATAGCCCTTGGTGCCCGTACTGATAGTCTTTAGTGAGGATAGGAGATATACTTTTTAAAAAAATGTGTTTATTTGGAAGACAGAGTGACAGACAGGAAGACAGACATCTTCCAGCTGCATGTTTGGTCCCTAAAAGGCTTCAATCACCAAACCTGGGCCAGGTTGGAATCAGGAACCTGGAACTCTATCCAGGTCTCCTACATGGGTACCAGGGGTCAAAGATTTTGGCCTTCTTGTGCTGCTTTCCCAGATGTCCTTGCAGGGACCTGTGTTAGAAGTGGAGCAGCCAGGACTCAAATGTGTGCTTAAGTAGGATGCCCGCATCACAAATCACAGCTTAACCCACTTCACTGGCTGGGAGATATACTTTTTTTTTTTTCGTTTTAAGATTTATTGGAAAGTCAGATGCACAGAGAGGAAGAGAGACAGAGAAGAAAATCTTCCATCCATCAATTCACTCGCCAAGTGGCCACAATGGCCAGAGCTCAGCTGATCTGACGCCAGGAGCCTGGAGCCTCCTCTGGGTCTCCCACATGAGTGCAGGGTCCCAAGGCTTTGGGCCATCCTTGACTGCTTTCCCAGGCCACAAGCAGGGAGCTGGATGGGATGCGGAACAGCCGGGATTAGAACTGGCATCCATGTGGTATCCCAGTGTGTGCAAGGCAGGGACTTTAGCCACTAAGTTACTGCATCAGGACTGGAGTTATACTTCTAATAGTGTTAGAATTGAGCAGTGGGTTCAGATGGTGATGCTCTAAGTTTCCCAACATCATATTTACTTGTTTTACCATCCATTTGTCATTTCATTAGTAGTTAGAAAAAGGGTTACCATTTTTCAAATTTTGTCATTATTTAGGTTTTATAGGATGACATGATTATTTATAGAGAATAGCTCTTTTTAATTTTTTTTTTTTTTACTTATTTGAAAGGCAGAGCAAAACCCCCCACCATACACAAGAGACAGGGTTTGAGATGGGGACCTTCCATCCACTGTTTTACTTCCCATATGCCCACACCAGCCAAGACTGGACCCTGCTGAAGCCAGGAGCCAGAAACTCCATCTGGTTATTCCATTTGGGCGACAGTATTTGGTCCATCTTCTGCTTGTTCCCAGGTACGTTAGCAGGAAGCAGCATAGTTGGAACTCCAACCAGTACTCTGCATGGGATGCTGGTGTCACAAGTAAAGGCTTAACGCACTGTGCCCCAGTGCTTCCTATATTTGGTTACACCCATTTTCCTTATTAGCACTCAGTGACCTTCTGGGGCCCCTTCTGGGTATGAGAATGTCTGCTTTCCTATGTAAAACGATGGACCATGCCCAACTCATGACACACACCTGGGCTGTCTTTCTGTCTTAAGGCTGTCTTTCTGTTTTAATCTTTCTGGGCTAAGCTTATCTTTTTGTTAGTTTTAAAATGTAACAATCTTGACAATTAACATTGTGCCACATGGGCCTAGAATTTCTCCCAGAGACCTGGTTCTTTTGAATGAAAAATGGTTCTTAGAAACTATAATTTAGATACTTCAGGTGCTTGTTGATATTGGGTTATTTCTTCTAGACCTATTCCATGAACACAGTTTGTTCATTATTTCTAAAGGTAGCAACGTTTTCTAAATTAGAAGTAAATTGTCAGGTCTGGCATTGTGGCATAGCACATAAAGCTACCACCTGTCATGTTGCACCATATATAGGCACTGGCTCATGACCCTGCTGCTCCACTTCGAACCCACCTCCCTGGTAATGCAAGCTGGGAAAGCAGTGGACAGCCCAAGCACTTGGAGCAGAGGGAGCTTCTGGCTCCTGGCTTCGGCATGTCACAGCCCTGGCATTGCACCCATTTGGGGAGTGAACTAAGGGATGGAGGATTTCTGTCTGTCCCTCCATCTCCAACTCTGTCATTCAAATAAATACCTTTTTATTTTAAAGTAAATTGTTTTGACTACATAGTGTTGAATGGCATTTTACAAAAGTTTTCCAGGAACTGCCTGTCATTGTTTTCTTCCCAGGAATAATAACAAAAGTAATTTCCCCTTTACATAATATAATCTTTATTTTTAAATTGAGACATTCTTGCATAAATCTTTTTTTCTAGCTATTTTCTCTATAATGGCTCTCTGCTAATAGAGGCAATTTTTGTTACATTTTGGTTTTCATTCAATGTGAGAGATGTGTAACTATGCCCTCCTTATGAGAGTGTGCCTTCTCCATTCTGACACAGTTGATTATAGCCCAGACGATATGGTCCAGATTACACGTCAGGAAGGAAGACATGATTCACTTGTAACAAACAGCAATTCAGCATTGGCTAGCTTAGCCTGCCCTAGGTTGGTCATGGTGGGAAACACAAGGTGATTAGTCATGGTCTTGGTCATCAGGAATCTTGTTCAAAAATACACTAGGTTAAGTAAAGGCTTGCAATGTTAGTGAGATTTAAATCTTAAGAAAGGCTTAACTAAAGGAGCACTTGTGTAAAAGCATTCATCTCGCAAAGTCAACATTATAGAAAGCAGTCATGCTGAAATGATGTGTTTGAATTACAGATCTTATAAAGAGTACTAAGGAAATTAGGAATTCTTTGTTATATCCCAGTGCATTATTCGTAACTTCAGCATGTTGTCATTTCATGGAATGGCATTTCCACTACTGAGGACAAACTCTTGGCATGAAATGACAAATGTCTCACCCCAGAGGATGATCTTTTAAAATGTTCTCTTGGTTCTCAAGAATAAATCATCTCATTGCACAGATGGTTCTAATAAACCTCACCAAATGAAAGGAAATAAGAGAATTAATTTTACCCAAACGTTGGAATGGAAACTTTTTTTATAGAAGGTCTCAATTTGCAAATGGAATTTAAAAATGAGAAAATGCTGGCTAGAGTTTATACAGCTTCTTGACTCTCCAAAGTGTGACAGCCATTAGAACTCTCTAGTATTATGAAATGTAAGCTCGTTTGAGGTCCATTAAGTTCACTATATGCCTACTTGGTGAGAAATGTTTTGTCCAGCACTCTTTGGAGCTTCACGTGGGATAAGGAAGAGTAACATTAAATAAGAGATAGTCACTAATGGAGATTTTGGTAGAAGAGAAGGCAAGGGAGAAAGTCAACACCCTCGGCAGTGAGCTTGTTTGTCATGAGGTGGAGAAAATAAATTCGTAACAATTTACTACAGAATGAAAAAAGGGCTAAAGAGAAATTACCAAGATGTTGTAGGAGTGTGAAGGGGAGAAAGGGTAATCTGAATGGTGGATATTTAGGAATGACTTCAAGGAGGAGATGGCATTTGAACTAAAGCTTACAAGATGAGTCTTAATGTTGGGAACATGAGAAGGCATTCCTGTTGAGGGAATAGTGTACCACAGGGAATTGAAAAATGTGATGAGAAGGGAAGTTAAATAATTGGGTTAGGGCCAAACTGTGAAACTAACACTTCAGTTGACCCTTGGTATCTGTCCCGAATAGTTCCAGGACCCTCTGACCCACAGTCACCAACATCTGTGGTTGCTGTCTCTCTCTCTCTTTCTCTCTCTCTCTCTCTCTCTCTCTCTCTCTCTCTTTCTCTTTAATTGGAAAGGCAGATATACAGAGAAAAGATCTTCCATCTGCTGGTTCACTCCCCAAGTGGCCTCAATAGCTAGAGCTGAGCCAATCCGAAGCCAGGAGCTAGGAGCTTCTTCTGTGTTTCCCGCGCAGGATGCAGGTCCCAAAACCTTGGGCCATCCTCGACTGCTTTCCCAGGCCACAAGCAGGGAGCTAGATGGGAAATTGAGCAGCCGGGATTATAACAGGTGCCCATCTGGGATTCTAGCATGTGCAAGGCAAGGACCTTAGCTACTAGGCTACCACCCTGGGCCCTGTAGATGTTCTTTTATGTTATGGCCTAATGTTTGCATATAACCTACACACATCTTCCCTCACCCTTTCAATCATCTCTAGATTACTTTCAATACCTAATTTAATGCAAATGCTATATAGATAGCTGTTACAAGTTTATCTTGCAAGTTCCTGGGGAGGAGATGCAACTGAAAAGAAGTGGGGGTCCTCTCTTGAGCAACTGACAAAGTTTATTTGCAGAGTTCCAGTTTATATACATTTAGCAAAGCAACACTTCATAGTTCAGCTCAGACATCAGTTACAATGATCAGGTTTAATACACAACTTGTGTCATATGTATGTAAGCAGGGAGTTTCAGAAGAGCTAATAAGGCACCTGGATCAAAGCAGCATTGCTGTGAGATATTGATAAGAAGCACTACTTTGATCTAAGATAATTGGCTAACTAAGCACAGAGGTTCACCATGTATCAGGGAAGCACTAAAGCACATCCAAGGACTCACTGGGGTCAAGAGTGCGCTCTGGGTGAGAGGCCCTCCGCTTCCTCTTTCCTGGAGCTTCTTAACAGGATTCCACAGGCCTCCGCTGTCCCAGCTATCCTGTTGGATATATTCCGACAGTTGTTTATTGCTTAGGGAATAATGATGGGGAAATGTCCATGTGTTCAGTCTAGATACAGGATTTTTCTTCAGTTATTTTTTAATGCCTGGTTAGTTGAACCTATGGGGTACAGAGCCCAAGGATATGCTGACAATAAAAGTTACTAATAGGGCTAGGTTTTAGGGGCAGATATATTATTAGCATTTTTTTTTCAATTGGAAAGGCAGATTTATAGAGAGAAGGAGAGACAGAAAAATCTTCCATCTGCTGGTTCACTCTCCAAGTAGCTGTAATGGCCAGTGCTGAGTCAATCCAAAGCCAGAAGCCAGGAGCCTGAATTGGAAATGGAGCAGCCAGGACACATACTGGTACCCATATGTGATCCAAGCACTTGAAAAGGGAGGATTAGCCAATTGAGCCATTGTGCTGAGCCCTAGGAGCAGACATCTGAACTGCAGTTAATTGCCCACTTGAGAGACCTGCACTATTAGGGTGCCTAGGCTTGAGCTCTGGCTCCTCTACTCCCCATTCAGCATCCTGTTACTTGTGTACCCTGGAAGGCTGCAAATGATGGCTCAAGTACTTTGGTTCCCTGCCACCCACATGGGAAACCTAGATGAATAGAATTCTGAGCTTCTGGCTTCAGTCAGGTTCATCTCTGACTATTTGCAAGCATTCTCTACTCAACTATTAGCCAACTCACAGTTAACAGTCGGTTGAAAACTCTTCATTTAACCTACTCCTCTACTAGTGTATCCATTTTTAGAGCATCAATTCCATGTTAATTTTTTACTTTAAACTCTCCAAAGACTTCACAGTGCATTAAAATAAAAACCAAACCTGAGTGGACATTTAGCCTAATGATTAAAATGCCTGTATCCCATATCTGAGATGGATTCCCAACTCTTCTTCACCATCTTCCTTTTAATGCAGGCTGGGGGAGGCAGCAGGTGATGCTGCCACGTTATTTGGGTCTGCCATCCTCTTGTACTTCAACACTGGCATACTCTCCAGTGTTGTGGGCATGTAGGTAATGAGTCAGCAGCTAGGTACACACACTCTCTCTTGCACTCCCTTTCTCAAATAGAAATAAAACCAAACTGCTTCTGTTTGTCTACAAGGCTGTATTTGAACTGACTATTGCCTTTGTCTCCATGCTTGCCTCTTTGTGCATTGCAAGCACACTGACTTAATTCCTGCCCCTTTAACACACCAAGCTTGTTCTTCCCAGAGCCTCTGCAAGCTAAGCTGCCTTTGCCTGAAACATTGTCCCTTCCCCAATTTAAAGTCTCTCTCTCTCATATACGCACGGAATTAAGTAGTCACACTCTGTAATACTATCTGTTTTACTGTCTTCGGTTTTCACAACACTTTTCGATTAATGAACTGTCTTATCATTGTTATATTCTCCTTCCTCTCTCCATCAGACATGCTCTCACTCTGACATCAAGACTCAATCTCATCCTGTGTATTTTTGTGTCCTCAGCATCTGGAATAGTGCTACACACCTAGCAGGTATTCAGAAGGTATTGAATCACTGGTGTTAAAGTGAGCTGTGACAGATGATATCAGTGTTTTCAGCAACAGCAGTCCTCTTGCTACCTTTAATGTTATTTGGTTACTAGGTAACAGAGCTCTCTTTCTCTTTTGTTTGTGCTATAGATATGAAGCCCCACAGATTGCCTTACGTTGTGGGATTATGCTGAGAGAATGCATTCGACATGAACCACTTGCCAAAATCATCCTCTTTTCTAATCAATTCAGAGATTTCTTTAAGTACGTGGAGTTGTCAACATTTGATATTGCTTCTGATGCCTTTGCTACTTTTAAGGTAATCTTTCCCCTTTTAGTTGAAGTCACTTGGTCTCCTAAGGGGCAAATTTAATTTTAGAAAGCTAAAAATCCCATTCCTTATGCCTGAGTGTAACCAGCCATATGAGACGTGGATCCTAAGAGGTATCTGTAAATAGAATACAACCTATGAGACCGAGCTGTCACACTGTAGACAGTTAACCTGCCACAGGTTCACATATAATGAATTCCACTGTCTACCATTTTAGTGACAAAACGAACAGGTAAATAGGTTTTACAGAGGTGGAAAAGGGGAATGCAGTGGTTGCTATACTGAATAATACCTGTTTATTGCAGACTGGAAATTCACCCATCCTTTTCTGAGAAAGTGCCCTAAAACTATTTTTAAAAAGGTATACTAGTTGCTCTTTGGGGTCCTAATTTCAAGATAATAAAGTAAAGAAGGAACAATGGCTATGCCCCAAAGAGCCACAGCGACATGCAGTCTGTTTCCTGTGCTGACTGTTCTGTGTGCGCCCAAGGAAAAAGCCTCCCAAAAATTTGTCACTTGAAATGTGGCAGAGGCTGAAATAGCGCCTTTGACACCTATGTTCTTCCCAAACTGTATGTGAAGTTGTATTACTGTGTGACTTGCACCATACACAGACAGATGGTTGGAAATCAATTTTGTGAATCCGCAAGAGACAGACACCAACCATCCCAATTAAACACGCTGGTGTCACCCCCATGGGCTCCACCCTAGCCTATGTAAAACACATGGTCTTCAAGGGCTGACAAATTGTCCTCTAAAAAATTAAGTAGACATGTATGCATTATTTAAAACAAGTATATTAGTTATGTGGGAGTAGGAAGTGGGAATATCCAGGCGCACTAAGACCCGCTAAGGGGCCAGAGGTCTGCATGGAGCAGGAAAAGGAGTGAGGGAGGAATAAGATGGAGTTTGGAGGAGGGCTGTTGCAGGCTGCACAAGGACACACTCTTGCTTGGGATGGAGGTGAAGGGCCTTAGCCCTGTAGACTGCACTTTGAATAAGCCTGGTTTAAGGAGAGGCAAGTCTGGGCATTTGCTCAGGACACAGTCCTGGATATGTGATGAGATGGGAAAATCAGTTGCTCTCAGAGAGAATCCACATAAGGTAGATTCCAAGACAGATCTGAGGGCATAATAAATTTAGGGGCAACAGCTGGTTGTTCCAGCTGCCTAGCAGGAGGATGAGCCCATTTTTATTTATTTATTTATTTATTTATTTATTTATTTTTTAGTAAAAACAGGGTCTGCAGGCTTGGAGCCAGCACTGAATTGCCAGCAGCTTACAGAGGAGAGTTGCTGTAGGACAACCATAACTCCCCAAAGCCTTGGGCAGGGGTACAGTACACACTGAGGATGGTCCGAGCATGCGCTTTAGAGAGAGGCCAGCCTTAGCCCATTCATGGCTCCATTCATGGCTCCATTCAGCCTGCCTGTCCTCTAGGTTTTTGTTTGCATACCAAGGGGGAGTAGAAGAACCCATGCTGAAACTCTGGGGAGACAGAAAAAATTAGCATGAGAAGGGAAGATGGAGAGCTTAAAATAGGGACCCAAGGAAACTTCTAAATATACCTAGATAACAAAAAATTACAATTTCTACCATTTCCTATGCCAGCAGTGTCACGACCTACGTAAACAACAGATAATTGGAGTCATTTTCATCTCTAATTTTAAGTGGTTGTTACCTTGTATACTCTGTTAATATGACTGAGATGTTTTGTTCATCTTCTTAGGGAATAGCTCTTTCTTGTTTCAATTTATAGTTTTTTGGTTTCAAATCCATTTTTAAAAAGATTTATTATCATTTTATTGGAAAGTCAGATTTACAGAGAAGGAGACACAAAGAGAAAGATCTTCTATCTGCTGATTCACTCAAGTGGCCACAATGGCTGGAGCTGAGCCAATCCAAAGCCAGGAGCCAGGAGCTTCTTCCAGGTCTCCCACACAGGTGCAGGGTCCCAAGGTCTTGGGTTGTCCTCTGCTGTTTTCCCGGGCCACACGCAGGGAACTGAAAGGGAAGTACAGCAGCCGGGATACGAACTGGTGCCCATATATGATCCTGGTACATGCGAAGTGAGGACTTTAGCTACTAGGCTACCATGCCGGGCTCCAAATCATTTATTTTTGCTGTGAACTTAACCTTTTTGCATTTCCTATTCTTTTTCTTTCTCAGTAAGTCCTTGAGACTCATTAATAAATAATTTTATTCCCATCTTTTTCTTTTATTTTTGACAATCTTTACAAAGTTAATTAGGACACAAAGGTTCAAGGACTACAGGAAAGTGGGTAAGACTATTATTTCCACATTGTTTTTTCCTGTATCTGGGGTAAAATGGGAAATACAGGGAGAAGCCCCACCCAGCCTCCCACCCATCCCAGGTCCCTGATGTAGGGCATGTTCCGAGGGTCTTGCTCAAGTGCTTTTGATAGTTCAACAGTTCTGAATTGCTGCCAATCTCACCATTCCATATCCAATGAAATCTCTCCAGAATCCACTGGCTGACATAGTCCACCTTAGAGTCTCTGCCCAATTTTCCACTGCCAACATATGGCTGGGGTAGTTGATTGATTGGTTCTGTCCCCCTGTGGTGCCAGGTATCCACTGCAGGTCCCGATAGGACTGCCATATCCTCCATGTGCACCTGGTTATACTGTCCACTGCTCCTTCTGAGCCTCTAAGGAGGCTCGGCTCTGGCACTTGCACTCCATGGCAGACCATGGAACCTACACTTCTCTTCATATTTAGGGTTCTGAGTCCGACAGTTCGACTGGGGAGATCCCAAAAGAAACTTTGTCTGAGCTGATCCCAGACTAGACTCTTGAGTGTACTTGCAAGTATAAGGCCTGCCATAGTCCGTTGCCCAATCAGCTGGTGGTTGCAATTGCTGGGTCGGTTCTGTTTTCAGCTCTGTTCTGTTTTCATCGGTTCAGCAAACCAATGGGTGTTACAGTCCAGCCTGATTCTGCCCAGCACACATTCAGCCCTCACATAAACCAGCTGGAGCTGCAGCCTAGTCAGAGCAATCCACAATAACCCCCACCAGGCCTGCCCCTGGCCCTGGTTCCGGTACTTGCCAGTATGTAGAGCAGACTAGTCCAGTCTGTCCCACATCCCATTCAGCTCTCCTACATGTCAATGGGCATTGAAGCCTAGTTCAACCCAACCAGCTCCACTATCCAGCTCACACACATGCTGGCGGGTGCTGTTCTGTCCAGCCACCCCTGCCCCCGTCCTGGTTTTCTTGCTCTCCAGTGGGAGTGGTAACCCAAGAGGGAGATGCCCACTATTTCTCTCCTAGGCCATTCTCACTCCCAATCATGCACTTTCTGGATGGTTCTGGAGTTTAACTTGACAGATTAGCCCCCAGTGCCAGCAACTGCTATCTGATGGTGCAGCAAAGCCCAAACAACCTTCACCCATTGTGCTTTGTTTGCACCAGTAGGGGCAGTCAACCAAGCTTTGTTGTTCTGTGATAGGGCTCACATGAGGCCCACAGGTGTTGTAGCCCTGCCTGGTCTGGTCTGCCCCCATCCCAATTCATGCTCTCCAATGGGTGAGGTGTTCCAGCAGGGGAGCCCTCCACATTCCCCCTACCAGCTTTACCCCCTCCCTGGTTCCTACTAGCACTGCAGCCCAGTCTGGCATGGCCCACCTTACTTCAGTGTTTGTCAGTGGGTGTTCCAGCCTGGCCCAGCCCGGCCCACCCCCAGTTCCAGCTGGAGGGTTACAGTCTAGCCCAGTCCAGCATGTACCCTATCCCAGCTGTAATGTGGACTGGTATGTATTGTGACCATTCCTGGCCTGGCCCACACTGTTCTGGTGCTCGGATATGCCAGCAGATGATGTGAATTGGTTCAGCCTGGTCGGCCCCTGACCTGTGCCAAATGTATGCCAGTAGGTAGCTTTCCCTGGCCTGGTCTGGGCTGTTCCTTATCATGCTTCTTGTGCTCATCTGCAAGGACTGTGTCCTGCCAGAGGAGTTGCCCAGGCTCCTCCATCAGAACCTCTCCCATTGCCATATTTCGTGCATACCATTGGGTCCGTGAGCCAGCCCTACTCAGTCCACCTCTTGTTCTAGAAGGAACATTGGCCTTTCCTGACTGGCCTTCAACCCAATCTGGTTCTTACTGTTGGATATTTCAGCCCAGCCAAGGCTCATCCATACCCAAACACAGCTCAGACATGGCTCAATATGGGCAGAGACCTAGCCTAGTCCATCCTACATCTACCCCAGTCTTCCAGAGCACCAGATCGTGCTGGAGTCTAGCCCTGCTTGGTGCGTCCAGTCCCAGTCCACACTGTGCCAAGGGAGACTGCAGCCATATCCAGACCATAATGCAACCCCCACTCCTGCCCCCACGTTCCTTGGTGTGAACCCCAACCCAGCTAGGGTGTCCTCTAGCTCCCCAGCTGGGCCTGTTCCCAGCCATAGATTGCACACATGCCAGTGGTTGCTCTGACTCAGCTTGGCACAGCCCCTCACCTGTCTTGGCTTTTGCCTTAGATGCTGTGGCTTAGCGTCCCTGGCTTATGCATCTGCATAAGTAGCTATAAGAACTCAATTCAGCATGACCTGTGCTCCATCCTGATTTCTATTTTTGCTTGTGAGCTAAGGTTTACTCAGCCCTGCCCAGTCCACCCCATTCCATTACCAACCCACACATTAGCCAGCCATTGGAACTACTTTGCCCAGCTTGTCCGACTCCCAGGCCTGGACCATGTGTTCACCAGCAGGAGCTATGACACATCAGAGGAGTTTCCCAAGTTCTTCCACTTGACCCACTCCCAGACCCAGTTCTCATACATGCCAGTGGGTGTTAGGCCAGTGCCCCATATAGGCTGCCTTTCCATTTTGGCCTTGTATGAGCTGGTGAACTTGCAGCCCAGCCCACCCCACACTCTATTTAGGATACACATTTGGGTGCTGCTGCCTTGACCAGCCCAGATTGTTGTCAGTTCCTTTACCCATGAGTGATGGCAGGCTAACCAGC